TAGAAGTGCCTCAGAAAATATGGCAAAAACTAGGAAAGTCAGCCTCATGTGGGTTCCAGGATACTCTGGTATCCCGGGGAAGGAAGAGGCAGACAGACTAGAAAAGATCGGTTCAGGAACGACACCCATTGGAACAGAACCGATATTGGGAATACCCAATAGTACGGCTATGTCCTTCATGATGGAAATGCTACAGAGGCAGTTCCTTGAAACATGGCGGGACACACCAGGAATGAGACAATCAAAGCTCCATATAAAGGAACCTTCAAAAAGGCTCACGATAGAGATCCTGTCACTTAATAGAAGGGATCTCAAGATGGTAGTTAGGCTCTTAACTGGGCACAACGACCTCAACAGGCACCTAGAACTCATAGGGATCAAAGATGATCCCATCTGCAGATGGTGCTTGGAGGATGATGAAACATCATCACACATACTCACTGAATGCCCCGCGCTGGTGCATCAGAGGAAAGCTGCCTTTGGGAGCATTGTACTGCACCCAAAGGATGTGAAAAGTGACTCAGCTGAGGAAGCTGCTGAATTTCGTCAAAGAAATCGGCATGCCCAGCTGATTCACAGGACAAGTGGGCGCACAATTAATGGGCCCGACTGAAGAGGCCTGAGTGCAGGGGTCTACGCACCCGCCCACCTGTGCAGAGAAGAAGAAGAAGATGCATCTGCTCTAGATGGGCTCGAACTGAAGGAATACTGTATTTGCAGTGCTAAATACGCATCTATGCCGTGTCAGTGCAATCCAGTCGAATACGCTATTGATACAATATTACCTTATGCAGGGTGTTTCATAATATATACACAGGAATTCTAGATGCGATAGCTCGTCCAGAGGTATGAAAAAAGTTTCCATTAACTTTCCCTCTAAAATGCACTATTTTCAAGATACAGGGTATTGAAATTAGAAAAAAAAAATCGATTTTTGCGAGTATCTCTGGAACCGTTCATCGCATGAAAAACAATTTTCTCAAGTTTTGTGAGAAATCCTTTCTCATTTCGATTTATAATTAGTGGAAATTCTGAAGGGGATTGGGTGTTTTCTCCCCAAATTCTACGCTACTAAAAAAAGTTCAGTTTTGAGCCACTTATTTGAAACCGCCAATGTTTTCCACACCAAAAAGGTACTCTTGATCATAAACTCTTAAGATTTCCGTTTTCGAGAAGAAACAACTTTTAGTTTACTGGATTATTTGTGATTTTCTGTCCTCGTTTCCACAAAATAAAAATATAGGTATTTTTCTAATATATGTGTAGTAGGACAAATCAGATGATTTGCTCCAAACTGTCACTGCGTTCAACTGATTTCTCTATCAGGAAGCCTAAAAGAAAAATTCAATAGCAAAGTGTTCAAACGACGTTGCAAAATAACAAAATCGCTCGCACAAACCAATCAACAAACTATAATAGAACAACCAATACCAGAAGAACTAATTAGGTATAATTGTGATTTTCAAGCATCCGAATTCCAAGTTCAACACATCCACAAAGACGAAGTTATAAGTTGATGACAACTGTGAGAAAATGATTTTACGATTACATCTCAATCTCATGAAAGAATCTTCTTTTTCATCGCCTTCGTATCAAATATCACGTCAATGATTGTAAGTACGTCTGTGGTAGAGTACATATTGGAGAAAAATGGAAGAAGAGAATGTCAATCTAATATTGTCTCTTTCGACAATAACAAATGAGCTCTTTCCAACATTCTCTTTCTTAGCGCCACTTGAAAGACAGACATATTTTGATTGACTGAACACACAATATTGTACCCCCAGGATGTCCACTTTCGACTGTTAATATCGGACTCCACCTCCTAAATTGAATTATTCTCCTCGGTAATGAAACAACGTCTGTACCAGCAACTATATAATATATTGTCATAATTTCAAAAATCTTCCTGTTATGAACGTATTTGTAAGAAATAAATTAAAGAAAATACAAAATGGAAAGTACGTTACTGAACTCAAATTATTTATATCAATAAATACACTAATGTTAACTTATAACTCTATACACTTGATAAAAAATAAGAATTATATATATTTTACATATACACAAAACTAATATTGAATATAGCTCAAGAGTCACTTATCAGAACTCTACTTACAAGAGAGCCGCATGAGATTCACAATAGAATCAAAAATGACCCACTCTATCAAGATGTACATACATCAAAGTACACCCATTCAAATTGTTATGGAAAGAGGAAACTGAATACATATTCATTATAACTCCAATGTGCTGTATAATTTGTATTCTGGTAGATTATTTCATGTAATCATAATAATTCATTCACAGCATACTCAATTTCCCCAATTTTTTTATATACTATAGAACATTCAGTCAACAAATTTCGAAAATATTTACCACTAATATACATTTAGGAACAATGTTTATCAATTGTGAAAGCCTACAATATTTTTTATATCGTTTCAAATCGAGATCTTCGTACACAAAATAAGAATACTAAAACGTATATACAAATAAATGTTTTAAAAAAACAATCAACAAGTACAGATCGTGAAGTAAAAATACATGAATGTCTTTGGTACGAATGAAAATTGTAAACTAATATGGACAAAAACTATGGATCGTGTCACTTATTATCATCTATTCAACAATAACACATCTGAAACATATATATGGGGATGATTTTCTCAACATTTCCAGCCATCAAAATCTCTGCACAAGTTTTTCGAAACCAAAACCCTTCATTTTTCGAGATACAGGAAAGGTGGATTTTAAGATTCGAGTTACAGGAAAAGTGGAATTTAAGAATCAGATCTTTCTATAAACATTTTATAGTGAATGATTAGAGGAACAGATTTTGATATGAAAAAAATCTTTCTCAAGCTTGGATAGGTCTAAGAATGAGTGAACTTTTATACTGTGTCCAATCTGTACTTCCGGGATAGGTACAAAAAACATTGACTGCTAGAGGGTTCAATTGATGCATTATGGATTGAAAGAAGTTTGTGGAAACATATTCAATTACTTGGCTCTCAACTCCATCGAAATCCTTAGTGAATGTGAAAAACATCATAACCCAGCAAACATCGAATATCTGGCCGCATTCTGGCCAATTCATGTTAGATCAGCATATTGCTGGCCGGCACTGGGCCAATAGTAACGATTCCTAGTATGTTTTTACCTACGTCATACAATCGACTACCCATTATATGGCATATTGAAATATAGAGTATGACTATATTTCAGTTACAATTGAATAATTTAATTTTTAGGCCGGCGGAATAGCGCAGTGGTTGAGGGGCTTGACTAGTAATCAGAATATCGAAAGGTTGCTAGGTACGGATCTCCGGAAGAGCAAAGGATTTTTATGTATAAAACAATTTATAAATTCTGATTTTCGTAGCATCGGCCGGAGATGATTTCCCACGATTCGCTGTTGCGTTCCCATCAACAGTGCTGCTCCTGAGGTGGCGTATGGATTTGATAACTGAGCTTACACAGAACAGTAATGAGCTAAAGGACCTCTCGTAAGGTCCGATGGCCAGTTGGTATGTACATACATACCAACCAAATACATAATATACTATACATTGCATTTGAATAAGGTAAGCAACTGGCCATCGACCATCGACAAAGAGGTTCTTCAGCCCACGTGTGTTCTGTGTAGGCATTGTTACTAATTCCATACGCCACCTCAAAAGCAGCAATGTTAATAGGAACGCAACAGCGAGTGGTGCTGATTCGTATCCGACCGAGGCCACAAAAATTGAAATATAAAACTGGTTTTATCAATAAAAATTTTCTGCTCTGCCAGGAATCGAACCTCATTTGCTTGCTAGTCGAGCGCTCCACCATTGCGATATTCTGCCGTTTTGCATTCAAATATCATCATGAAAGTCATTGAACTCGACCATTAACACAAGCAAGTCGTTTGACTCATGAAATAGGAATGAAAGAAAGTCGGTAGTCAATCGGAAAATCGGATGTTTTTCCTTGTTCATCGTTTGTATTCGTGAATGAATTCCATACACACATAACATTTCAATAAAAGGGTGGTAGCTCAGTTGTAATATTCAAGTACGATTTGTAACCAAGTGATAGAGGAGGACCAGGGTCCGAATCCCGTGGCGGTCGTCTCTTTTTTTAACATGTACTGGCCCTGATGACGGCCAGAGTCTCTCATCGGTACTTTCCCATCAATGTTCACAGGAACTTTGCCAGTCTGGCAAATTCTGGTCAGCATATTATAAGCCAGCATAAGGCCGACCAGAATTGTTTGCGAAGAAACGAGACATGGTTCGCTAACACAGTAGCTTTTTCAAGTTGAGTACAATAAATTAACCGAACATTCATTTGCCCCAACCCAGGAGAATGTTTTTGTATTTGATGTGAAATGGCCTTTGTTATATTATGAAAATGGTGAAATTGTTCTGAAATACTTCTTTCATCCACAAGGAATAGTCGCACCCTCAAGTCCCTGATGGTGAAATTGTTTTGAAATACTTCTTTCATCCACAAGAAATAGTCGCACCCTCCTCAAGTCCCTGATGTGTATCTCGATAACGAAGTTTTTCTAGACACATACTCATGAGATTTCTTTTCCATTATTATATGGAAGATGAACGCTAGTGATGTCCTGTCATGTATTCTTGAAACGCGCTTCAGATCATTCTCAATATAAAAATTAATACATCAGGACAATGATAATTATCATCAGCCACATAAAACAACTATATTGGAATTGAGATAGTAAACAATTTTCAAAACACCCAGTATAATTCAGTTCAGCTGAAGAACAATTTCTATGCAAAAAAATAGCAATATTGTTTGGAAATCATAAATATTATATCGTTACCTATTCAAAATGTCCAGCATTAAGAATAAAAAATCATTGAAATCAAGTGACACGTCCACCTTGTGATACTCATAATACTCTAAATAATATTTACACGATTTTTACTCTACATGCGATCTGATAAAAATACTGAAACTGACTAGTCAACCAATTTCTCCGAAATCTACTGAATTAGTCCAAACGGATTAGACCTACTCGATGTGTTCAATATTGTTTTGCCGTCCTTTCGTCTTCTAAGCTCATCTTTTATCCTCTGAAGATCGCCAACACCTTTTTTGTTGGACTTGTGGTGTTTCTTCTGCTTCCTTCTCGAACTGTGTTCACAGTAGGTGTATTTCTGCCAGTTGTGCAAAATGACACCTAACCTGTTGCATTCACGAGCATAGGCCATGAGACTATCACAGTAACATTTGTTACCCCTTGAACAGTGTTCCATATCCATTTTGCAAGCCTTGTAGTACTTACTGAAGTTCAGTTTCGTATGACAGGTCGAGAAAATGTCGCTGTTGAATAACTTACAACCGTTCTTCTTCATAGACTTATCTGATCTATGCTGGAACCTAATCTTCTTTTCGCAATCAGATTTTTTGCCTAGACACCAAGATGCAGCGAACCCTAGAATTTCCTTTTCTGTAACAACTCTGCCAGCTTTAGTCGTCAAGTCATCTTGCACGTCATTGTTGTAGTTGCCACATAGACCGCAGAGCTTGTTTTTGAATGAAGCTGGAGCCACTACCTCCACGAAACTCTTGAAGTTCCAGAAGACTTTGAAGCCATTGTTGAAAGTTATTTCAACGAATTCTTTCTTCTGTTCTGCTCTGAACCGGCCATCCACTTTGAACGGCAAACTCACAATGGTACCGTTGTATTTCATTCTATCTTTCTGTTGTAGGTTCAAACGTGTATTGAGGTAACGAATAGCAACACGTTTGGTCGTTGCTGAAAAGCCCTCGGATATCGTATTGGCAACTCTTATCGAGAATGAATGATTAGCACAGTCCGTTACTAGTTGATATTTTCCTATGCCTTTGAAACTGTAGATCCTACCGTCGAAGGTCTTGTAGTGGGGGTCTCCAAAAACCATGCAGGCGCCTTCAACTGCAACAAAGATTATGAGTCTCAAATGAAGTATTACCCTTCGAATTATTATTATAATAGACTTCTAGACAATTTCAAAGTTGATTCACAAGTTCATATATGCTGATAATTTTCAACCACCTTAGCAAATGTCACAATGAGATCAAAAAATGCAAGATCCTTATTCATAATATACTGACTATTTCTCTTCAAATTTTTACTCAGAAATATTCATTCTGGAATAAATACGACAAATCGTTCCACTTCCAAAAGTAGTGAGTTAGTTTTCAATTGTCCTTGCGAAGAAAAGTAATTTGAAGTCGTGGAGACGCAAAATCTTGGTGATTTTTGAAGAGTGCAAAAAATTCTGGCCACAAAACACCAGGACTATCCCAGGTAGAACATCATATTGGCTAGAACTTGGTTTCATATTAGCCCAATATTCGAATATTGAATATGGAATTACTAGATTGCACCAATATCAAACCAATTTTTCATTTCAATATTCGATCATCAATCCATTGCCAATATTTTAATAACATTGAAATTTTGTGACCAGCCGATATCAATTTGTCAATATTTATTTGATATTGGAGGAATATTAACGATCACAATATGTCAATTTTCATGATGGGCTGATATTGCATTTCCAATATCAAATCGATCTTGGAAAAAAATATTGACTCAATATCCAATTTATGATGATTAGTGAATATTGCATTTCATTGTCCAGCAATGTTGTAATAACATTGAAATTTTGTTTCCAGCCGATATTTATTTACCAATATCTATTCGATATTGGTGAAATATTGACGATCACAATGTCAATTTCCATGATTGGGCTAATATTGTATTTCCAATATTGAATCAATCATGGAAAAAAATATTGCATCAATATCAGATTTATGATGGTTGGTGAATATTGCTCTTCGTTGTCCAGCAATATTGCACTGATATTGGTGATTCAATATCATTTCGATATTCAATAATCAATCCAGTGAAAATGTTGTAATAACATTGAAATTTTGTGACCAGCCGATATCAGTTTGCCAATATTAATTTGATATTGGCGAAATATTAACGAATACAATATGTCAATTTTCATGATGGACTGATATTGTATTCCCAATATCGAATCAATCTTGGAAAACATATTGTATCAATATTTTGTATTTTTATTCAGCCAATATAGTTCATCAATATGCGACCCATTTCAGATAGATATAACTAATGAAATATGCCAGAACCAATATTGCACTGACATTGGATTTCTAATATCGAATCGATATTCGTGATATTTCTCTTAGTATTTGAGCTACGTTATAACAGCTGGCGCCACTAGCACGCCTCCAACAAACGACTGCTGAGAGACATCAAATACCGCATTCGTTCAACTTGCAAACTAAGTATTCTGGGATACAGGAAACGAAAATGGATTTGATATTGTACAAATATCGCAATTTTTTAATGAGGCTAATATGGCCTCGAATTTTGATTTCGAGTTTTGTTGAAAAACGAAATTCAATATTGGTTGAATATTATAATTCAACATGAAGATAATATTGCAAAATAATCACATCCTCATTTTAGCCAATATAGTAGGGGAATACGAATTCAATATCGATTTCACATATGAAAATTATAAGAAACCAGTTTTCTATAAGTTGACATCATATATTTGTCCAATCTTGTATACGAATATTAACTCGATATTGGATAGAGCATATCGAAACAAGATTGAAATTCAACATAGCACCAAGATTCCAGAATGTTCACATTGATTCATTGACCCAATAATTAAAATTCATATTTTCCCAACATTCACCATTTATTGACTCAATATTGAACCAATATTAGTGTTCTACCTGATATATACTTGGAGTATCGATTGATTGATATAAGTTTGAAATGCATTTTTCCTCTGGTGATTTTGGAAAGCAACTAGATCATTTTGCCTCGAATACAGATTTTATTTTAATAATTTTGAGAATCGAGACTAAAAAATGAAGACACCACAACGGAGCTACAGAGCAATGAACTTCGAGAAGGAATACGTTAAATATTTTATATCTGAAAATACGTGAGCGATGCACTATCTTCTGCAAATCCGCATCTGAAGTAAAAGTGGAATCTCGACTGACGAATCACAATTTCAAACAATAAGAATTTTGCCTTTATACAGGGTGATTCACGGTGGATGACACATTAGACGTGTCTGGAGAACGCAACTCAGGATAAATCTGAAAAGTTGGTGCTTCGGATAATAAGTTGTGTTCTATCGACATAAAATATTCTCAGCGTTGCGACGTTGCCGCTTATATTGAAAAGTAGCAGCAACTGTGATACTTTCCATGAAATACCTTGTATATCATCCCTGAAGAGCTGGTTCCATCGATTCATCTCACTTGAAGTCTAGCGGGAATGATAACAAAGATATAGGGTGCGAAAAATCGAAAATTTTCAACTTTGAGGAAATCTACTTAAAGAAAAATCCAGTAGCTTGTCAGTGACAATTTGTTTGAGAAAATGTTCGATGGAAAGAAATATAGATATATTGAAAAAATATCGAATTTTTACTTATCTCTGGACGTTTCGGAACCGAATCTGCTCTCGTTCTCAACATGTAAATACAAAATATGTTTCTTTGAAAGTTGTGCTGGAAAGACCTCTCTCAGTAAGGAATGAAGAACACAAGTACAATATCAAGAAAAGACATATCGATAAATCGAAGCTAACTGATCATATTCTTACTGAAAATGGGCAATATATGGCAGAGTGGAATAATATCAAAATCATAGGAAAGGAAGATAACAATCAAAAAAGAAGAATCAAGAAATCCGCTTGCATTCTTCTAAACGGAGGCAATAGCATTGCTTCCTGTTCAGTTGATATAGATAGAACATGGTATTCACTACTGAAAACTGAACATGAAAATGGTAGAATCAAGATCAATTAATGAAAACATCCTGTAACTCATTTGTAGACTAAAATCACTCACTAAAATCACTCATCCATATGCCAACACCAGTATATGACACTGAAAAGTGTCGAACTATAAGCAGCACAACTCTCAGAGAAACATATTTTGCATTTACATGTTGAGAACGGGAGCAGATTCGGTCCTGAAACGTCCAAAGATAAGTAAAAATTCGATATATTTTTTCAATCTATTTATATTTCTTCCTTTAAAAATTATTTCAAACAAATTGTCATTGACAAGCTACTGGATTTTTCTTTCAGACTCCCTGATAAAAAAATTTGAAAAACGCAGTGACATTTTGGGGCAAATGATCTGATTTGTCCCACTACAAATATATTGAAATAATACGAATATTTTTATTTTATAAAAACGAGGAGAGACAATCCCAAAGAATCAGGTAGAATGAAGGATTTTTCGCACTACTTTGAATACATGAGATTCGAAAAATGAAAATGTCCCAATTTGAGGACACGTTAAATTTCATTTCGTTCCCATTCAGTAGTAAAATGAATATCGCAAATCAAGTGGAGTGAATATGATGTTGAAGTTCAGAGAGTAAGTATTTGAGATGTATATTGTATATATTGTAGTCGATTCATGATCGAGGAAATGAACAGAAAAAGTCCTCAAAGATGGATGTATGTGCGAATAATTGATATACCTAATAATCGGACAAATTGAAAATATTTATGAGCTTTACTCTTGAGTAGATAGGGATTTCAGTTTTTCATAATCCTACTGTAACTTTTCCCTTCTGAAAATATAAATGCAACTAAATTCAATCACGAAGTTGAGATAAAATCTTTCAATTATGCACTGATTGAAATTATCTTGTTCTGAGGAATGCAGTGGAAAAACTTTCATGAATAACATGTGAAATCGAGCAATTATGATTCAAGATACTCTACTGAAGAATTCAAACTCGCAAAATATCACAATGACAAAACTCTCAATAAAATTCATGGCAAAACTTGAATGTAAACAAACATCCAATGTAGTTTCCATTAGTTACTTGAGTATCCGCAAGTGGGCGTATCGCTTATTTTGAATCGCAGGCTCACATCGGAAAGTAATAGGCAGCAATGAAGATAAAATCGAATTGGAATCTCTTCGAAGATATAGATGTTGAAACAGTTTTGTACGATAATGCAAGCATATATGAAGGGCTTAAAGATGATATATCAGAGGGCTACAAGATCGAAGACAGCATGAACTTATTTTTCAACTAATATTTTTGTATGACTTTTTTCAATTGACTCGGCCGTTACTCGATGGAAATCATGGCAAACGTGAAAACTTCACAAACGATAAGATTTTCACAAAATTCTCAAACACACATGTTTCCCTAACACAGTAGGTGATATACTGGTACATTGAACTGAACTAACCATGGCATGCCTAACTTTTATATAATCCTACTTATCCGACCTGAAGGATTAGTTACCTGTGGACAAGTTCGTAAAACCTTCAGAAATTAGGCACAATATCTATATCAAAATACGGGGTATCGGATTAACTTGAGAGGGTTGATAGCAAATACATATATTATTACCTAGGAAGAAAACAAATTCAACAGTGGTGAATTAATTTTGTATAATGAATATAAGATGACAAGAGAAAATACAAAAACATTTTAAGCACAACAAACCACCTGGTCTATTGCGTCATCCACGTTAACGATTATACTGCATAACTTAGATGAACTTGCAATTCACAATGAAACAAAAAATATTAGAGATTTTCGAATGGATATACTGAGTTTGTGAAATATTTCTTACTTTCCACGCATTTTGAGCAACATTCTCCAGGAATTTTATTCAATCTGGTACCATATGGACATGTGGTCGAAGTGATATTGCATCTCGTGATGGCACAGCTAGGCATTCCTTTTTGGCAGATACAGGATTTGCAGGCATCTAGTTTCCATTGTTGACCATCCTACCTAAGCAATTAGTTATTATAGGAAAGGCTGAATCACGAAATGCATTGTTTATGCAAGTTTAGTCAGGAAGCTTAATCAGCTGATATTTTTATTCCCTAACAACACAGGGATGTCCTAGGTACGTCCCTTCTCTGTCCCGCGGTACAAGGACATGATTGGGACATCCAGGGGATGTCCCGCAGTGGTTGTCCAGTGGACATCCCGCCCGGTACATCCCTAGGTTATCCCATTCGTGTCCCTGGAATATCTGATATCCATTCACATAAGAGAGTCATTGAATTTCATCAAAATATTGAGTCGAAATTTTTCAATAAATGTATTTCTTCCGGAAAATAGTTATAATAGAAATAAAGAATATAGTCTCAAAACTGCTCCAGAAATGACCATTTTTCGCACACAGAAATCGTAAATGCATAATGCCCCTCATTTTTAAACACCCAAGAATGATAATAATTATACTCGAATCCTAACAAAGTTTATTTATTCAGGTTTCTGTAGTTGATTAGAATGAAGATATTTTGTATTTCGCGTAAAATTTATGATAAAATCGCAAAGCGCTTTCGGCTAAAAAGCCATCATCAGTGTTATACCTGCAAGTAAGTAATATTTATGAAAATTATTTCACAAAAAGGTCCAAAAATTCGAGATCAATGACATTATTATGGTACAAATGGAATTAGGAACAGACATAAATTCAACAAAAAAGTTCCCTTATGGGTTATTGTGGAATTTTCCAAAAATACATTTTAAAATTGTTTAGTTCTGGTCCTGGGAGAGCACGTGGGACCTACACCTTTATTATATAGTCTGACGAATATGTGACATTTTTAACCATGATAATATTGTTGACAGAGACTGAGTCTCAATGTCAATATCTGAGTCAACATGTGTATGAAGTAGACAAGTGACATAGTGACCACAGAGCGCGAGAAAGAATTGACAAGGTGAGCAAATTGGATGTCTGAAAATTTTTTGTGAATAAAATGAGATGAAATGGATTACATATTCCAGGCCAAAGAGTAACGACCTTTGTAATGAAAATTAAGAGAATAGGTTCCCAATCCAGACTTCAGAGTCCTGGTGTTCAAGCTGAAAGTCCATGGAAATTCCAGTAGTCGAATGCCTCATAAGAAGCAAACATACCACTAGAACACTTCCAGACTCAGAGCGAAGACCGAACTCGAGTTCTAAAAGTAAGCCGGATCCTGATTGCAATTTTTGTTGTGTTGGGTGAAAATTAATGAGCAGGACTTCCATTTCGGACTTAAAAGTCCTAGTGTTCAAGCCAAAGGTCCAAGGATGCTCAACCCACGTTGTAAATCCCAAAGGGACTGACAACATCCGCTGAGCCTCCCGTCCCCAAGCGTAGACCGGACTCAAGTCCGAAACGTGAGACAGATTTAGACTTGTTGAAGCAGAAATCTGGATCAGTGTCTTGTATGAGTTATAATGGTTATCATCATGGAAAAATACTTGTTATTCCAAACGTGCATGTAAAGGAATATAACATCTATTTGATTGTACTTGTGTGTTAAAACGAAGGTCATTGTTTCGTAGTTCCTTTACGATTTCAAAATCTTTCAAAAAAATCTAGTCCAGTCATCTCTTGGATGTCCTTTTTGTCTCAAAGCGGATGTCCCTAGGACGTCCCTAGTATGTTCTGTGCCCGACAAAGGATATCCCCCTAGTTTGAAATTGGGGACGTCACTGGGAAGTCCCTAGGATGTACTCGTGTTGTTAGGGTTCGTACAATATGGAAACCAAATCTTCCAATTCAATTTGTATGATGTGATCTATCCCAGACAACCAGATGACGAATGGTCAAGTCACTGTGACGTTCCCAAATGGTGATTTTTTGTCACAGACATCATTCAATAATTTACGACGTCACTATGACGTGATAATCACGTCATCATTTTGTCGTTGAGTGAACGTAACTTGGATGGATAAAATATGCCGTCAATTACATGACGTTGCAGGGACTTCGTGTTCACGTCATTTTTCTCTATAGTACGGTATGTTTTTGTACAATATATATACATGTTGTACCAAACTCGATGACTAATTAAACAATCCTGAAGAACGAATTATAGGATGCTTCCGAAAATTTGGTTTCTTAGGTAATCAGTTAGGTTCTATCGATTCATAGTAATTTTCCTTACACGCACGCACGCGACTGCCGTTGACACGAACGACGCGAAGCTGGGGATGTACAAATGCGCGAAATCTGGACGTCCCCAGTACGTACGAAACGTCTTGACCGGACGTCTTTAGTACGTTTTGGGGACGTATTCGTTCTATATGGAAAACGATAGCGTTGCTCATACGACGTCAACTCCTTACGTCACCTTGATCATTCAACTGAAGTAAAAAGACTTCACTGTACAGTCATCTGGTTGCCTGGAATCTGACCACGACGGGCCAAATGAAATGTATTTTGTGATTCATCCTATCGTGTTATCATTGAGATACACACCTCAGATGTTACAGAAATTTGTGCGTAGATTTTTATAAAAAAATGGATTTTCCCAAGTCAGAAGGAATATCCAAAGATGAATATTCCAGTTGGATTTTTCAGGCAATATTCAGGAATGAATATTCCAGGAATATTCTGAACTGAATATTCTGATTTGTATATTCATGGAATAATCCATAATTATAAATCTCATGTGTTTCAATGAAATATAGTATAGTATGAACACCAATCACTATATAATATTTCATAGATGCGAGTATCAAACATTTATTATGATGAAAATGTGGTAGAAATCCATCGTATCTCAAAGTGGAGTGGTTAGTTACCAGGAATCAGGAACACAAAGCCATCACCACAATTTTGATAATGATCAAAAACTCAATCAGATCATCGTACATGTTTCGAATAGGCTCATCTTCATTATTATGTATCGAGATTTTGAAACATGAAGTGTTTATGATCCGATTCTGAACAACGCTCTCTAAGAAATTGTTATGTACAATATCATTCAACTCGATTACTGGCCTAGTGGTTAAGGCGTTGCTCTGACAATATGGAAGTCACGAGTTCGAGGCCATATCTTGGGTCAGCTTTCTTAAATTATGAATATGTTTAGTGGAATATTCATTTTTTATTATTCCTCTACTATCCCTGGAATATTCCGAATATTTCTAGAACATTATAGGTGCTGTCTGGGTAGGTATTCATAAAAGGTCTACTCGCATGTTTATCTGACCAGAGAGTGCTCAACCAATCACACATTCAAGTCGTAAATGAAAGAAAAGACTCCAAGTCGGTCGACCACATTTCAATAAAGTCTTCGGAGATTTTTCTTTCATTTCTGAATACTGTGGGGCCACTTTGAGAATGGATGATTATCATAGTTTGCACATTCAGTTATTGTCGATGAAACTGTATATTCATACTCATTGTGTGAAGTTTGAGAGGTTTTGGATGCTGTATAATATGGTGATTTGAGCTAAATACTTCTTGAATTTGTTGTACAAATACTTGCCTCATATGTTTGTCCACCATATGAACAGGTCGATTCGAATTCTGCTAGTACTTCACATTTCTTACAACAACTACCCGGTACAGATTTCTGTAAATCAGGCGCACAATCCAGAATAGGGCAGGATATTCTTCTGCAGATAGAAGTGTCGTTTTGGCATGTGCAATTGCTACATTTATCGATGCTGAAGTTGTCTCCTTCCCTACATAATAAAACAATCAGAAGATTAATTCAGTTATTCTAATGTAAACAAAAATGTATTATTTGAGGACAAAATATACTGTTTACTTTTGAAACAGATGAGATGTTACATGTATAAAATAATCAATCGATGTCAAGAATCTACTATATGTAATAGATTGATATTGTTGATTACAATTTGGCGAAAGACACCGTAGCAACTTATGGTTGAGAGGTACGTGTTCTCTCTCGAACATGTTTGTATAGAGTTGGGTGGAATGTGGAATTTCAATAGATATCTCCACTTTGAACGAAATTTTTCAAATTCAGAAAGTTGACTCCTGAGTGCATTCAGTTCTTGCATAGAGACATTGTTTGTTCCAGAAGGATATGAAAAACACAAACTTGATGGTTTCATCAGAGCAGATATTTTTTATTTCAAGATATTTTGGGTTCTTCGGAAACTACAGAATATCGTATGAAGGCTTCAACTATCAGTAGATTCAATATCAGGAAGTAAGTCCAGGGTTCAGGAATCTAAAACCACATGGAGAAATTTGAATAAAAATAGAAAATATCTTCGAGTAGTTCTCAACAAGAAGCTGAAATACATTTCATCAATAATGAAGTAAATGAATGAGTTTTTCATTTGAGATCCATATTTTTTCAAAATATTATCATTTGTATATCTCTTGAATATCCCTAAAGAGTGATGTCCAGGAGACATTTTTGATTACTGCCCAAAGTTGTTTTCATATCGTTCTATGCATGTTCTAGAAGACCTCATAGGGATGTCCTGAGACGTTGTTAGGACGTAGAAATCGGTTACAGGAGGATGGCCTGGGGAAGTCCTTAGGCTCGCCCTCGACGTCCTGAGGACATCATTGTGATCGCCTAGAAGGGCCTTTTTAATCGCTTGGTGCGTACGGAAGGAAATCCCTATAATGTTCGAAGAACATATCGTGTTTACCTAGGGAGAATAGGGAGAGGAGCAAGATTATCAGTTCTAGGAAATACTACTTTAGGCAATGAATTCCAGAGCTTCCCCATTCTTTAGAGAAACGAGTTTTGATATAGTGCTGCTCGAGATATCCGAGGTTGACAATGAAAGGATGTGCTGACTGCGCTTGTCGAGTTCGTCTAGCTGGTATTGCTAGTCAAGAGATTTTTCAAGAATATTTCCCGTGGAAGTATCTTCAAAGAAGTGAAAGGTCGCTGACCTTTTTACGGTGATCCAATGATGTCAAATTGTTAGTGAGTCTGGCTTCCCCCACCAGGCGAATGGCTCTTCTCTGGATGGAATCTAAGATCATCAGAGTATGTTTGAGTGCTGAGCCCCATATGTGAGAACAGTATTCTGAAATGAGTCGTATCTGTGCTCTGTAAATCATGAGAAGCTGTTGAGGTGTGAAGTAGCTTTCCGCACGGAATAAAAATACGTGTTTTTATGAAGCAGCATTCGCGATGGATCTGACATGATTATCTTATGAGAGGGTATTGCTGATGGAGACACCAAGCAAAGATATATTTGACTTGGTGAGAATGTTGGTATCATTGTTATATCAGGCATACTGGGTTCCGCCTTTCTAGAGAAAATACAGGCTTGGGTTTTCGCGTCGTTGAATTCAATTGAGTTGTTGGTTCCCCAGGCTGTGATTTTAGCAAGATCTTCATTGACAGCAATGACCTCAGGAGGTATTAGTGCTACCTGAGTGAGGAGTTCTGATTTTCATCTTCAAGCAAATTCACTCACCTGAAGAAGGAAGTCTGCAGGGCACAAGTGTTCTTCGGGGTGATCAGGATCCTGGTGCCCTTACACCTAGGACAACACTCGCCCGGCAGATGGATCTGTCGCATAGACGAGCATTGGAGCACAGGGCAGGCTTTCTTAGAGCAGATCATTCTGCTGCCGCTGCATCTGCACTTCAAGCAAGGGTCGTCAGAGGTGACGTCTCTGTCGTCTGTGACTATCTGGTCGTTCATTTTGCATTCTGAAATATTTTTGAGGCGCATTGAAAATCGCATATTCACGATGCAAGACAAAAAAAATTGCTTCTTGTTATCTCTAACATACATCTCTGGCAGAAATAATGTTCCTATAGGGATGTGAATTACACGGTATTGGACAATTATTTTTACTAAACGTGTACTTATATGATATACAGACGAATTTACACTATTTTGATATCGAGAATCAGTCGCAAGAAATTTATGGAAATATGCATGCTCATATTCGAGATTACTCTAGTTTTGTTCAGGATATTTTCGGCAATGCATTGTTGCCGCTCCTATCAAAAAGTAAGTACAACTTTATTATTTCGGATGAAATACCCTGTATTTCATTGCATATGTAGATTTTTCCTGGAATCATCGACGTGTGCCGTACAAATCGAAGTGATACACTTGTAGTGTATTGCCTGATCTTTCTGATTCTGATGAAAAGTTCGATTCAGAAAGTCAAAATATTTACATTTAAAAAGAAAATAATTTTTCCAAGTCCAGCTCTGGATCTCTTCCATAGTAGGTCATTGTGTGGTGTGTCAGTATAGAGGACAGTTGATGGAGAATTTCAGATGATAACATTCTTGAAATATCGTTCATCAAATTCCGCCCCGAATTGAAAGAATGCCCTGTATTTCTGTTACGAATAGGCAAAATATATTTTTCCACATATATATCAACTCACCTTGACTTCCGCTATCTGCCATTAGGCTATGGCTGGTCAGTCATGACTAACCCTGTATATCAGATATGATAATGACCCTACTCTCATTGTCACCCGGTATATACATAATGCATACCAAAACCTGGTGAAAGTTAAAAATAATTCACTCTCCTCCGATAGCCGGTCGCTACAACTCGCGAACACGTTTTATAACCAAATGAGGTTATTTAACTCGTTTGATTTATGGTCTATCTCTTACGTTTTATGGGCTGAAGGCCGTTCGAATTGGACACCTGCAACATCGCTTTTGTCGATTTTGAAGTGATTCCTATCGATTAATTGTATTGGTTGGTACCGTTATAGTTACTTACAGATAGTATTGAATAAATTAGATATTCATTCACTTGTAAGTATAGATTTATTTATAATTGTGAACGCAACAGTAGCCAAAATGAGATCTGGAACTATCCGTCACTGTCAGCTATATAAATCAGAATTTATTTCATCGATCAAAGATCGAACCGCCATCTGTATTCAAGCCTGTGAATCCTTTATACCGTCCCCCACCTATTCTTCATTATCATTATTAGATTCCACTCATCTGAGGAATAAGAACTTCTTGAAGAATATTAATTGTTTCTTACTGCAAACCATCACCAGTAACTTGATTAACTGATTATCATCAACTTATTTCTTAATTTGAATTCTACAATATCTTGTTGAGAGAATATATTGATTATTGTATCGTGCAACAATACAATCTTGAATAGAAAAGTTGATAATCCACAATTTACTCTTGATTAGACTAAATCTCCTCAGGATTTACCCTACGGCGTTTCTCACCGATTTCGATCGCTTGGAGAGCTATATAGGCTTAAGTATAAGCATATTTCATTTATCTAGACATTCTACACCCTATTTATGAGTTGTATGACGTCAACTATACTACCTGAGATGACATCTATATATCATTGCAAATGTGGAAACTGCCGGTACAGGTATTTTCATCAGTCACCCTTATTGAGATAACGTTCCTCCCAGCTTATCTATCATATTTTTCATTCAAATATTTCGACATATTTGGTTCAAACCAATAGATTTGTTACATCATGTAATATCATTCTTCAGTCAGGAACCTCTGTATCATTATATTATCCCCAACCTGCCCATTTTTCATTCCATCAACTGCACCAGCACCACCACGTCTTGTATGACACTATTAACTCCGCATGGTTTTCTCCGGGTTTCCTTGGCGTAGAATATGCTTTGATTCTGAGTATCCTTCACAGTGTGCTACGATTATATCTCATTCTTCGTAAAGATCTTCACCTTCGAAACCCTGGTTCAACAAGAACTGTTCTAGAGCTGGTGCCTTGAAACAAACAACCTATCATCGCTAGCGCAAAAACCCGAACCACGTGACCAGAATATGTTGGAGCCAAGAACTACTGCAGCCCAACAATAGACGCATCGAAAAAATCGTATAGTCACTGCAAACACATGAGACACCACTCGATAATGGGTATAGTAGAGAACCCAACATGCCCGAGATGCGAGGAAGAGGAAGAGATATATTTTCACTTCTTAGGAGAATATGACGCGTTCAGCAGACTACCCAAGTAACATTTTAAATGCCTAATAGCTTCGATGAGACTTTAAGGAGGTTATGTGAGCGCAAATGATAGGTCTAATTTGTTCTACCGTTTTATGAATGCCCTGGAAAAAGCATATTGGGCTTCATGTCCATATAATCCTATTAAAAGGCTTTGAGATACTATGATAGAACTATTGCATAAAACAATTTGGCATTCAGCTCACCTCGGTTTTAAGAGAGCTCTGTGAGAGTCATTGAAATTCTTCATCAAAACTATTTACTCTTAACAACCCTCTTAAAACTCTCAAGTTTTATTAGTGTCTTGAATTTGACCAAGAGGTTCTGAACTAATCCTATGAAAATACGTCATAAAGCAATCATAAAACCAAATTTACACTAGGCCAATTAGGATTTGACTGAGGCAATAATGAAACCTATTGGCATTATTCTAGCTATGTGAGAGTAATTATTAAAACCTATAAGCCACAATGAACTCATCGAAGTCAATCGTAAAATCTATAGGATTTATGAAGTTTTATTTAGAACCGTGTTAAACCCAAATCCCATAATATAAATGTTCGTATTTTTTTTGCCTACAAACGACTCACGTTGAAATGGACTCACAAGAAAATAAATAGTGTGAAATTAAGAGAAATGGCAACTCTAAGCGAAAAAATGAAGAGAATTACTTAAGAATCAAAAATCAAGTCGTGAGAGCAACAGTAAATCAAAAATCTCAAGCCCAAGCAATTCCAAACACTGCGTCTTTCAATTCATACCACCTGAATCCACCAAATAGCAAGAATTCATTAGGACCTGATGTTCATGAAGTACCATCAACGAGTCAGAACGTAATGGAAAATACTTCTGATCATCGTGCTTCTGAATGGGAACTAGGAAGCGAGGAAGTTGACAACAGTTTTGCACAAATTATGTCAGATGGCGAGTAGAGCATGAATTTGAGAGAATGGAGCAATCAACACAATATCAGGCGAATTGCACTGAGTGTAGGTTGTCTATGTTTCCTACTCGGTTTCCTATACTTTAAACCAATCACAAAATTCACAAAGTGAACACTGTAAACAACAAAAGTGGGGTTATGTTAATCATGTTGATGACGTTCTTCTACACTTTGCAACACTATTAATGAGCACTAGCCAGGATATTCTTAAAACTGTATAGTTTTATGAAGGCATTATCTTATAACCTTCTTAAATCAATCTTATCATTTTCGAAGCTTTGTTGTCATACCCAGGCGCAAATAGTCATAAGAATGGATTCGAATATGCAATAAGTACTTCAACAGGAGGAAATCGTCTCATAAAATGCCTTATCATTACCTAAAGGTATTAATCAAGCATTAGAGAAGGAAAATTGGTTTTAATTATATTTTGCGCCATATTTACTACAAACATATGTCGGCCATTGATGGAAATAGGAATTTAAAGCGGAGAATATAAAATATGCATTGATACTGCCGTCGAAAATGTTGTTTTTGCACATTTTTCAAACGACCCACTCATATTCAGCAAACATTCACACAGTTTTGTCAACTTTTTTGAAAAGTTATTAAAATTCACATCCAATTCTAACTGGTGAAAACACATTATTTCTAGGGCGCTGCTTTTTTTGAAGCATATCTGGTATGTTTTCGTCAAAAAAATCGCCATCGTTTTCATTTTACAGCCTCAATCTTCACAAAAAGGACTATTTGATACAGTAGGGAATTATCATATCATACCGCCATGTTTAATATCTTTTATAACTATCTATTGTTCTCTCCCCATTTTGACATGTTTATATTGTCACATCAAAAGGGTTGTTTCCACCATGTCACAACAAAAGAGTTGTGTTTCCACCATGTTACGATAAAATAGAGATGGTTGATTCATCCTTATCGATTTATAAGGGGTAATGCTTGGCTCAATAGTTTGCGAGAGGTAATATCGAAAAAGGCACTAATAGTTTAGGGGTAGCTGAAAGTACGAGACTACATTCAAAGATATAACAATATTCATAATAGCATGAAACATTATGGGTGAAGTGATTATAAATATGAATAAACAACAATGAATATAAAGACCTAATAAAAACTTACATTATAGAGACCATAACGACGAGCTCTTGTCAAGTCAAGAGTAGCCCCAGACCAGACTAACTTCGGAACCCTCACATCCAATATTTATGTACAACATTTTATTAGAAATGCACGTTTCTCATGAGAGTTCCTTGGTCAGTTTTTATAATTCAATGTCAACGGATGATTTGATTTACTTTATGTTTATAAAACCCTCATGGTTGGAAATTACTGATATACCGTATGTTCTACTCGTGACAGTATTATAATTAGTTCTGAAAAAAGACTATCATAAAACACGTTACGGACTATATTATCTTAACAAATGCTTACTGCGACTGATAAGGTTTCAATTTAGCCAATAAGTTTTAATGTTGGCATAAGAAATGTCGTTTTAAAACATACATGTTTGATCTCGTGCTAAAAGGCTTTAAACGAAGTAGTTTTGATAGGTTTTATTATTGCTTTGAGGCATACTACAATAAATTCCTATTAGTTTTATGACAAGCTTTGAGAGAAGCTGTGACAGCATTCATAAGGTGGGCCCTTTATGTTTTGAGAAGGTTGTTTAATTGTTTTGATGATATTATTAAAGTATAATAGTTTTGAAAAGGCATTTTAAAATAGGCTGTAACAACCTCCTGTAGCTAACAATGAAACTCATAATGTTATTTGGGTAAGATTCAACATCTTTGAAACTGAAACGTTTCAGAGAGAAGAGACGGACCCTCTCGAGCGGTCGGACACACTAGCTTTCATCAGAAGGTCTAGAAGGTTCCTCGAAGGAGCCAAGGAACGGAGGTATGGTGGAGGTTGCTGGGGTCGGCAAAAAGGGCCCAAGAGGGCCTACTGGCCTGGCTTGAGCCTCTCCACCATTTCAACTACTACTACTACTAACTAAATTGAGACCACCCAATCACGAATATGCGATTAGAGGTCTGTAAGAATAACGATTTTTTATCGTTTCAGTTTGAACCCCTTGATTGGGTATTGGATTATTGAGAAGAAACAATTCTCGATTTATCAAGGACATGAAGAAAATGTATACATACTATATCTGAGAATATTCCTTTTCAATGATTTGCTAATTCTTGCTTTTTCTTTATATAAACATGCGTCCTAAAATGCACCCCCTCTGAGCTACATGCATACTGTGAGATAGGTAAAAAATAAAGATTAGGTATCTAAAATTGTGACTAAAATAACGAAACAAGTCTTCTGGAAATTGGCATGGATCTGTCTTTTCAAACACTTCATTTCCTTCTTGATGCCAAAATGATGCACACTCACTTTTTGGGGATTTGAAGGAGGGTTCACACTTTTATTGGCCCAAATTTCTTTGACTATGAATAACATGATCTTTTGGGCCATGAAAAATGTGAGAATTCGGTCTGTTTATTTTTTTCATAAAACCAACCATGTGCCAGAAAATCAAAATCAACGAAAGGGGAAGTCACCTCGACGTTGTTGAACGCGATGGGTTGAGCCCTTGCATACGTAGGTGATCGTATGTCGGAACGCATTCGAGGCTGCTATTTCAGAGGCGTGCAGTACAAGAATACCCGCACTTGATCCGTTATTATTCCATATTTCTTCGCCAACTTTACAGTGGCCATCAGTGGCTGTAGTTCGGAGAGGGTGCATTTTAGGACACATGTTCATAGGAAGAAAGAGTCCTATTTTGATCCCAAAAATGAGTCCTTGAAAGATACACATCAAATTTTGGATCACCCTGTATAATTTTCCTATGCCTAATCGAATATTGATTTCTATAAAATTTCGATACGCATCACCTTTTTCTTTAGAAATTTTTTTGTAGGCACGAATCTGAAGAAGGAATATGATATATAAAGTATATAAAGTCTTCCTTTACCTTGATCTGCCTTGATCGATATGAGCTATAGTGTCTTTTCAATCTATGGTTGTTGATACGAGAATAAAGCTGAAGATTTGATGTTAATGCAGACAGTCATGGAGCAATCATTAATGATTTATGAGTTTATGTGCCTCTCAACTTGTTAAGAGGCCAAGAGCAAATGATTTGGTGCGGCTATCAACATCTAATCTATGATTTACATAATGCTTTATAGGAAATCTCATCTTCAAGAAGATTTTTTTCGACCAATATATGCAAAATTTTCATTCCGTTTTGTATTTCCGTTATTTATTACACTTTACACATTTTTCATTTACAAGCATCTTCTCCGTCATTAACTTCATACCACCTATTCCATATGCATGTTTTCCTTCATTAATATAGTCTGTTCTTTCAGAACACGAAGTAATGGAATGCGTTTTTTTTCTGCTTCAAAACAACAATATACCTACGTACTACGATGAGTTCAATTACCATAAGCGTAGGGAAAATGATATAGCATGGGGTGAATCCTATTTGTGGAGAAAATGTCTTTTGTATTGTGACATGCGCATAACTCTCATATTCCCACACAACCAATAAGCATAACCACAGAACAAGAATTCACTTCCAACGTAGCAGTGTGACTGAGATATACACGATACAAAGATATTGTATAGCAGATATTTGCATAAGAATAGCCTCGCGCGTGTTTCGTGTTATGAAATATAAAAGATTCCAATAATTATTCCAAGAATCAACGGAATATGTAGGATATTGTGATTTTTTTTATGATCTGGTTCCAACGAAAAGGGATATCCTGTAATGTTCAGAGAACATCGTGAGAACCAAGGGAGATAAAGGTAGGTATTGGTATTCTTCTTGAATTTCTGGAGATTATATGCTTCGGGGAACACTTCCCTTAGCAACGAGACTTTGGAAAGAGATGTTCTGCAGGTCTCCAAAGTGACCACGAAGGGGTGCGAAGCCTCAACTATTAGGGATTAATACTTCAAAATGATGAAATTTAATTTTTCACTGCAAAAATCTCATTATACAGAACAATAGCGGTCTCAAAACTATCCTCTGAGGCACACCACATTTTATCACGTATTTATTCAATCAGACCCACGTTCCTTCAAAATCAGAATGTCTCAATAATGAACCTTTCAAAACTGAAACTCGTTCTACATTCAAATAATATTTCAGTACCGAAAATAGACATAGAGAATCGAAAAGGGGTTACCATCTTTCGATATTTTTATCAAATACATATTGGTAGTTTAGAACGAATTCAGAAAAGGTTCTTGAGAACATATTCATATCGCAAGGGTTATCACGATGCTCATATAAACTACCCAGATATCTTAATGGAACTCAATCTCCTAAATTTTGAAAATCGTAGATTAGGAATGTGTTTCCTATATAAATTGGTTAATGGCCTTATTAATTCTCCAGATCTACTTAGTCTGAGTATATTCAATACATCGGCCAGAACAAAAAATCCTCTTTTATTTTCCTTGACCTTTCACTCAACGAATTTCAAGGCTTCAAAGGAATTATGTTGTTCTTCAGAATCTTTGTGACCTATTCTGTGGCAGTCTGAGTAAATTCAAAACTAGTGTTGTGAAAATAATCAAGAATACCTAGTTAATGTAATAAGTATAACCCAAGTGCTTTTTTTCTATGAGTGTGATTTGTATTGCTCCTATTATTATTCATCTTTCGTTATGATTTCTTTTATAAAAATGGTGTAACCGTTGAAATAAATAAATAGAACTACATTATTTCTTACCTGGGCATGTAGCACAGCATTTTCCTGGCTCAGGAGGTAATGGGTTTGCACAAGGGGTGTGACATCGTAATTCTGAGACTGTCACCACTCCACCCTCGCATCTCATTATCGTACAAGGATCCGAAGGATTCTCCCACTCTGAGTCGCTCGGGTGGTAGATTCCTTCGAAGATACAGCCTGATGGAAACAAGAAAAATCTTCAAATCGCATGTTATTGACTATGCCGTGAAGGAAGTCCATCACATCGTTGAAATTTCCATATAAAACAGTTTTGTATTGATATAGATATACGTATAGATGGAATGCTTTAGACGAATCAATAGACAATCGGCCCGATTCACTAAGAGCGTGGTTATTTTAACAACTGTCATTCGGGTGGTTAATATGAAGGTCAGTGGTTATTTGAACCACTTACAGATTTTCTGATTCTCTAAGGCCTAGATGGAAAATAAATTAACAACTTGCCATGTTTAAGAAAAAAAAATTTCAAGGTACCTAATGTTGTTAATGCTAGAATTGCTAGATGTTGCACAAGAGATAATTCTACTGCAAGAAAGTATGAAATATCTACCTATTTCACTTGAGGAATTCGATAAGTCTATCCTCAAATTCCGGAAATTATATCACATGCCGAAAGTATTGGTTGTAGAGGTTTTGATACCATTAATAGAACCACAGATGGGAAGCATTGGTTGGATACTTTCATTCTACTACATGAAAAAGTAAATCTCAGTTGAGTTTTTTCGATATATCAGTATAGAAAGTACTCAGAGAAAATTTATAGCCTATTATTTCAGATACTTGCTGCGTTAAATTATTGAGTATTCACACTAGTTACATTTACTTGCACGCGAGTATCCTATCATCAGGGGGACTAATTCTAATTAGGCAATGTCTCAACCAAGTGCTTGTAGAGTATATCAATTGTTAGGGTGAATTGACGTTAAAAAGGCAGAATTATAGCAATAATCAATGTAATAAGAGATGAATGACTAACTTCACAGCTTCATTAATACTACTTAGTGGAAATGTAAAAACCAAACGACATTGATAAATGTTGTTTTTATAGTATATCAAATATCAAAAGTGAAAGATCTGGGGTGGTTAAAAAAAATTCTTAATAACAAAGTTACTAATTTAGCCACCCTGTTGAACACTTCTTGGAGAATCGGACCGAATAATTAGATACTCTTTATTCATATGTCAATGAGATTCATCCAAATACGAAATTCATCGTAGAAATATAGAAACAGAAAATTCAACAATTAATTAGATTTTACAATGAGTAAAATCAACAGTGAATATAATTCATCAATTTTTCATAAATTTATTCACCATAATGCATCAACTCACACTAAACGATCCAATCACATTTTTTAACTCGAAATTTCACGAGTAGGAAATCTAGGAATGAAACTCAGATAAGTTTTTGGGATAATTAGAATCCAACAAACGCAGAAATTCTAACATCTCACTTAACAATCAACTAGGCATCACCAATTTCAGGTCCTGAATTGTTCTTCTAACTTCGTAATATTTGCATTTTCGTGATATTTGGAGCTTTCATAAGGAGCGTTTCATGGTTATTCTCATTTCTCACAGTATTCATTATATTCACAAAAAAAATCATGAAGGCTCCGAATCGGAGAATTTTTCATATCGTGAATGACTACAATTGAAAGTCTTCCTTTATAAGACATAAAACGCTCTTCACTTGCTTGGAATATGAAAATTGGAATTCAAATGTCACTTGAAGAAGCTACTGTGAATAATTTCATGAAAATAGTATCGTTCATGAAGTTTTCTTATCCATCACTATAAAAACCGTTGAACCGTTAAAAATATTTGATTTTGAGGTCGAACTTTGATTCTGTGTTACAAGCAATGCTTTTCGTTCCAAACTGTATTCAGAACGGAACTAAGTACCTAATCCCTATATATCTACTCTTACATTTGAATAACCTATACTTTCGTTCATTCGATTTTATATACCTCACGTTTTGAATTTCTTACTGGAGTAGATATTGGAACTTGAATCCTATACCTTGATCAAGGGTCAAAATAATCACCATGATGAGCTCCTTCTAAAGTAAAAATACTCAGTCTAAAGTCAGTTAGGCATTCTTGCATCCTGCATATCTTCTCGTATTTTTGATTTCGATATCTCATCACATTTTCCTTCCTCATTGATTAAATCAATGACTACAAGCTTCGCAGTCTCTCAACCTTATTGGAAATTCCAAAAGCTACTTCCACAAATCTAAATTGTATATGTATAAGTAACCCACTCACAATACTCACATCTTCTCACTACTGATTCAAATTAATGAAAGTTGAGTATACCATAGTGTCATCGTACTCATATCTATATATCATATTATCCAATAGTGCATGATTATTTTCACTGTGTGTTTAGTTTGAATTATCTCCTTATGTTTTTTTCTGATCATTGTTTGGGAAGAATATAATATTGTGAAACATTTTTTTGTGTTTCAGTTGGCAACCAAGCAGGAGACTACTTATCGAGTTTTCGAAATATTCATGCATGTAATGATGATTGAAGTATATGGAGAGCAAAGTTCTTTTATATAAAACATTAGCTGGGGGAGCCCATCAATTATTGAATTTATCCAAGCGAATGCCAGGAATTCTGATATTTCCAAGGAATGTACATTTATCATGGTTTCAAAGAATATTGAAGCATGTGGCAATTTTGTGATACTTATTGGGTAAGGGTCAATAAGATACTTTTGAAAATTATTTGCAGAATTAACTTAATCACTTTGAAACCAAGTTACCTTTACATCTTCTGCAGCATCCTTCGTCGACCAGCATATGGCAACCTTCAGTATTTGGACAACCATCACTGCACCATACAAAACCATTCTGCAAAAGAAAAAACTCATGAATCAAATAGTCAGAATTGTATTCATACTCGAATTTGAGAAGATAATATTTGTCATAATTTGTTGATTTCAATCAATATCACATTTTCAGAATTATATTGAGGTAGATCAAGCAAATTTGAATCGCGGTCGAATGATAATGATTTATAACATTGTATGAGACTCAAACCGCAGGTATAAAAATACTATTCGCGTGCCACCTGGCAGGAAAAGAACTCTTTGATCTTAATTTAAACGTTATTTCAAAGTATTCAAGTCTCTTGTCATGCACGGTTTGATTAAGTGGTCATGTGTAAGAGCATAACCTCAATTTCGAGACTATGAGACGACGTTCGTGGAATAGCTTCAGCAAATTCAGCCTTGTAAACAAGGCATCAGGCCATCAGGATTTATTATGATATAGTTGGCGTTGGACCCAGAGTTCAAAACACACGATACACAAATTATTATTTCTCGAGTTATTTATTTAGCAAAGATGAATACATTATGTGAATACTTGTAGAGTATTATTTCAGATTGAGATTTTGATGATACTATATTATTATAATGTAGAAGACACCAATAACTTCCTAATTGAAAGAATATCACTTCAATTGAATTGAGTTAACCTATGATTTTTATCACGATCTTAACTGGCAATTTACTATATGAAACATTTTTTTTGTACATCGTTTTTCTATGGGTTAGGTCCTCTTCATCAACTCAGTTTGAACATCCCTGTCGTCTCGAGAGAGAAAATTGGGGTTCTGAAAACATTTCTGGACAAAACACATCCGAAGTGATGAAATATTTCGTCATGATGGATCGAGCTGCCATTAAGAATAAGGCAGATTCCAACTAAAAATTCGTAATTCATGTCTCCGATTCTTGAAAATATGCGTGAACACTTATTGAGGCAAGTCAGAAAAAAATTTCGACATCGTCAGATAACTTGGCATAGCAAATTCCCATTTCTTCCCAACGCTGTCGAAGACGGTCTTCCTGAAATCACAGCCTCTAGAAAGGCGGAACTCAGCAGTATACCTGATGTAACAATGTCCGCCATTTCCACCAAGACCAGCATATAGATGCTTGGTATGTCTATCAGCAATTCATGGCAAAATCATGTTCGATATATCGCGAAAGTTGCTTTCATTCCGTACGAAAATCTACTTAACACCTCAATAGCTTCTCATGATCTACAAAGCACATCAGATACTGCCAGTTCCAGAATACTGTTCTCACATATTATTATGGGAGTCAGCACCCAAACATACAATTATGCTTCAAAAGATTCCATCCAGAGAATGGCCATCCGCCTGGTGGGTGATGCCACACTCACTAGTACTTTGACTTCATCAGAAAACCGTAGAAAAGTCGGCGACCATTCACTTCTCTATAGATAGTTCCTCAGGAAATGTTCCTCAGAAAAAAACAGTCTAGATGTTGATCTCTTGGAGCGCACGAAAAGGAATTCCTATGATGTTCGAAGAACATTGTGCGTACCTAGGGAGGATAGGAAATGAAAAAAGTCAATGGAATTTTTCTTGAACTTTTGGTGGTTATGAGTTCTTGTAATACTTCCGTTGGCGAAGAATTCCATTGCCGTGTTCTATAGACGAACGAGTTTTGGTAAATTGTTGTTTGACATATTTCTAGGTTGACAACGGAAGGATGTGCTGACTGGGCCTGTCGAGTTCGTCTGACTGGTATTGCTAGTGATGGAATGATAGCACAGATTTCTGAGGAACATTTCCCATAGAAGTTTCTTCCGAAAAGTAGAAGGTCGCCGACTTTTTTACGGTGTTCAAATGAGGTCACAGGATCAGTGAGTGGGGTATCACCCACCAGACGAATGGCTCTTTTCTGGATGGAATCTGGAAGCATCAGCATATATATTTGGGTGCTGAACCCCATATGTGTGAACAGTACTTTGAAGTGGTCGTATCTGTGCATTGCAGATCACGAGAAACTGTTGAGGTGTAAAGGAGATTTGAGCAGCCTTCGCGATGGATCATACATTATTTACCCATGAAAGAGTATTGCTGATGGAAATATATAGTGGTTTTGGTGAAAATAGTATTACCAGATGGCTATTGTCATATCAGGCATACTGCGTTCCGCTTTTATGGAGAAAATACAGGCTTGCGTTTTGGTGGCGTTGCATTCAACTAGGTTGTTGCTTCCCCCGGTTATAATTTCATCAAGATCTTCATTGACAGCGTTGACCCGCCTTCGACGTGAGTTGTTAGTTTCCTGGGAGGCAATGAGAATTCTATAAAAGAACGCAGTATGGTGAGTACTGTCATCAGCAAAGCAGGGAAAAGGGGCAAGTGGTTACTCCCAAGAGATGATTGATATGAAGTAGGAACAATATTGGTGCCAAAAGTGATCCTTGGGGAATGCCAGAATTGATGGCAATAGTATCGGACGATAACTTTATCCATCACCACATGGAGCTTATCTGCCTAAAAACAAACTCGATATACGATTGCATAGCTGAGGTAGTAAGCAATATAAGCAGTTTGTGGAGGACTCCTTGGTGCCAGACACGATCGGATACCTTCGATATATTCAACGCCACAGCTAGAGATTCCCCATGTCTTCATAATGATACTTGCCATACATGGGTGATGTAGGCAAGTGAATCTCCAGTTCATCTTCTTTGGCAAAAGCCATATTGTCTATCATTAATGATTCCTGAGCTTTCCAGATTTTTGATGAGCTCAATGATGATGGCTTTCTTCATCACTTCGGAAATTATTGATGAAACGCCATTTGGCTTATAGATGTTGGGCAGGCTTTTATTTCTCGGGGGGGATTGGTTGGACCATCTGATTTTCAGCAAGATGTGAAAATACACGACTGATGAGAGATGGTGAATAACAGAAAATCGGTGTCAATTATGGTGCACACTTTTTGAGAATAATGGGTAGAATTCCATCAGAAGCGTAAGCCTAATTCGTTTTGAGACCACGCAGAATACGTCTGATAGTGCGTTGACGGAAGTCGATTTCGGGCATTCGAGTTTCAACGGGTGGAATGTCTGGCGGCACTTTTCCTAGGAAATCTATGGTGAAGTTTGCTGCAACCGGTAAATGAAAGTGAGAATAGGATGTGTTGATATCCATTTCGCTGTGATGCATCTCTTGGTTGGGCAATGTTGTTGTCTTGGTTCATATTCTTCCGGGTTCCAGCAGCAGTATGCCTCGGGTGGTAGAAGTTTGAGCAATCAAATGAACAGCGAAGTCCACATCCACAGATTTCGAGAAAAATATGGAAAACAGGGCTCCCATTCAAATGAAACGGGTTTTGTGGTTCATCATCCTCTAAGGGGTCACCCTGTAGATTTTCTGGTAAAGTTCGCGAAAATACCTACGGCATCTAACTTCCGCATCTCGTATTTTTTGTGAGATATTACGCGTGCCTCTTCGATGGATAACCCAGTACACGTAAAAAATTAGACTGTCGAGTAAAATAATGGTTGTTGGAAAAAATCGGAGTTGTATCATAGTTTACGATTTCGTAGACCTGATGAATTCTACGTCGGTAGCCCACGGTTGTTATTAATTCCCCCTATAAATAGACAAAAAATATCTGTGTTACATTGGGCTGTAAGTACAGACACGATAATCTAAAGTCAAACAAATGTAACAGACTGTTTATTTTTTCAAAAAGATCAGGTGGCCCGCAGTTTGTTTGGTTTCAATTTATTTTCGCACAGAAACTTTCTTTTTTCTTTGTACGTGACCTAGAAGTATCTGTTAATGTTAGCTAACTACTTGCTCGAATGAAAAACAAACAAATTCTGCAACAAAGTCGGCGCTGAGTTATTGCTTTATTGACAAATTTATGGACCATCTCTATCAAATAATGAATAATAAGAGAGTTATTAGTTAATGGAGTTTTCATTTCGAATGAGAAAATAAACTCAATCTCCTATTAGAATTTATAATCACGGCCACAAATCTGGTAGATAGATTTCGTCCCATCTCAATGGTAGGTAACGAATAATGTAGTTGTATAACATAATGCCAATTTTTTTTAATTTACAGAAAGAAATCGCATCAACCCTTACTATTAGCGATATGAAATTACACGATATTTCAATAATTCGTGTCAAGTAGGTTGAATTTTGGTGAATATGCCTGTCATTGAGGAATGTCAATAGTTGCTGTAAGTCACACTCTTAATGTCTTTTAAATCTCTTGGAAGATGGTGGTTCAGTCTTTCAAGAAAACGTTGCGTAAGCGTAATATATCAATCAACGAAGATAATGAAGGGGGCATTCCACTAATATATGTTTCCCTGTCAATTCAGTTTCACTCACTTCACACAATGCCAAATTGATCACCTTGAGTACACCGAGAAAGAAGTTCATTTAAAATCAGTTTACTAGTTGACTTATTTGTGATGGAAAAATCATCCGAAATAAATAATCGACCACTTGTTGGTATAATAAACTGTATAGTAGTTTCTTTTCACCAGGCATTGTGAATTTACAGACATTCCTTGGAAATCCAAGTTTGCTTACTGCAAAATCAGTTGAATCGGTGATTTGAGAAAATTGAAGAAATAGTTATCTTGATGATTTCGCAAGATGGTAGGATGAGCAATTGGTTTTCAGAATGCAATTTTATTAAAAATTCGGTACGAATTCAACGAAATGAAAGAATACATTATGTATTTCATCGAAAAATATGTAAGTTTATGTCATACCTCCAGAAGCGTATTGAAAAAAAAGAATATGCCATTGCCAATTGCCATGGATTCTAGGCAAAATTATCATTTATACGTAGTTTTCAGCGCAACATGATCTTCAATATCTTCGTAGATATGGAAGGTGTCCAAAGAGTATATAAATGTTCAAAATCAGTCTGTATTTCATTAATAACGTTAACAATTATGCAAAATCTGAGTTCCACAAAAAAGTAGGATAACAACGTGCGAAGACTATGAGCGTTGATTGAGGTATTGGTTATACCGGGTGACCAGTTATAT